AATTTATCAGTTGTTACTGAGAAAATGCGTTTGGTTAACTTACTGTCTAGTAAGTAAAAGTTTCTGGAAATTAAGTTACATTTTGTGTTTGTTTCATTGTACTTAGTTTGCCACAAGTCTGTGGCCTACCTCCCAAGGTCTCTGTCTTGGGCTTATTATCATTGTCAATAACATTGAAAGAGAAGATTGTCGTGCCTATTTTTATAAATGCTCCCAGTAGCTCTAGCGAAGATCATAAGCTCTTTACCCATCTTTAATCATTTATTAAAGGACTGTAGTCAAGGATGAGAAAAAGAAGCAAATCAATTAAGGAAAGCACACAAATGGAAAAAAAAAAGAGGAAAAATCATGAATACACACCTGCTAGAAAGAAAAGTTTTACATCTATGCAGCACTATTTCTGGATAAGCAGGGAATACTGACAACTCGTGGGCAAGGGAGGAGACTTTGGTACAGCAAGAATGCATCTGCCAATGTTTTCTTCTAGCGGATTAAGAATAGTCAGATAAGCCTAAGCAATGTGCAAAAATTTGCACTAAGTGATTCTTGAATGGCAGGAGATACCAATCAAATTTTTGTAAGGATATGCCACAGTTACACCTGCTTACAAAGAATCTGTTCTGAAGCCCTTTCCACATGAGTTCAAGCAATGCTGAAAGCTGGCAGACGTCTCCCTCCAGTTTTGTATAAGTAGCCTACCTGTAAATGGCTGATGAGCCTAATTATGTACAAGCATAACACAGACTGGATATTCTTGCTTAGCTTTTAGATCTTGTCACAGCCAACCATACTATGCAGAAAGTACAAATATATCTCTAGTTTATTTTCTACTGAGCCTTGTGCTTAGCTTAGCTGTGTTCAGTCACTCACTAAAGCAAAAAATTTGGAAAAACTTTCCTGTAATACAGAAGTGTTCCTTCACACAGTCATACAAGATACTGACTTGTAATGATCAGTCGGATCCTCTTAAACACCCAAGCACAAAAATACTGCCATATAACTGCCACATTGTGAAACTTATAATTAGATAATAATTTACTTGCTTTATACATATGTATGTATGTGTGTGTACATATATATGTATTTGTGACTTTGTAGAAAAAGTGATCTTCTGACTGTCTTATGATGTTTGATCACTGTTGTGCTTGACGTTGCATAGTGTGGGAAATAAAGGAAAAATACAAAATTGAGAGATAAAGTCAAGGTTTGAGGTATGTGAGAGTAATGTTTCATTGCACGGACCTCAAACAAAGAATGAAAATGGCAAGTGAAGAAAGTTAAAGCAAGATCATATTTATACAAAGTTGGTTAAATAAGCATATTCTCTGGTTTGACCCAGAAAGTACAGCTGAAGTATTAGAGGAATAAGGTTTTATTTTCTTTTTAAAGAATATTCCCCTTCTTTCTCCAGCTTGAATATTCACAGTCCTTTTAAAGTGGAATTAGTGAAGACTGCAAGGGACAAACAGGAGTTGACATTGAAGTCTAATAGGAAAGATTCATCACATTTATAATGTGCAATTCATATGGGCCACGATGAATTAAAATAAAGCAACAGTAATAAAAAAAACCCACACAACTAGAGAGTGGTTTTGATAGACAATTTGATAATAGCAAGCTTTTAGCTATTAGTTTATTTTCTAATTACAGAAAGCATCCTTCAAGTATACCTGGGAATCCTTTTTAAAAATTGGAAGCAGTGAATCTAAATAAAACTGTATTCAACAGCCAATTATACTTTAGAAAGTTTCAACAGGGTTTTTAGCCAAAGGCTTTTAAAAAACACTGATTCCATTCTCTTATTAGTGCTCTTGCTGAAGATGGTGGCATAGATGATAAGTTGTGTGGCAATATCTTGGACATGAGAGGCAATCCTCCAAATATAAGTTCTGTGATAAATCTCTAACTTGCTAACATCTAATTGCCCCTTTGCCAGGCATTATTATTATTTTTTCTTCAGACTTGTCTGTTTGCTTGCTTTTTGTTTTTATTTGTAGTTGTTGTTTGTTTGTTTTTCAAATGTCTTCCATTCGTGCTAAGATGTAGGAAAAAAAGATTGAATGTCATAAGTAACATCTGAATAGGGACAATCTGGCACTCGAGTCAGTAGCAAGAAGCAAAAAGCGACTAAGCAAATAGCTGCTCTTTTTAACTTGTGTTCATCCTCCTTTCATGCATGACTGCTTCCATCCCATTTCACCACATCATTACAATTCACTATCAACCGTCTTTAACTTATCTTATCCCACGCATCAATAATGGCAACTGATATGAAGTCCCTCTGGGACTCCAGTTGTGTTCATTTGCTTTGCTGTATTTTGTTTTAATAATTGGTTATTTCATGCTAAATTTATCAGCAGCTCTAAATGTGAAAAATGAAAAGATACTATGTATCCAAAAGGCTTTTACTGTAGTTCATTCCTACCAGTATTCCATGCATTCAGTGTAACAGACTCTCACTAGTAAAATCTGATAAATAGATAAAATATCTTCCTATTTTTTTTCTTCAGACAATCTAATTCATAGCTGAGTTTCTATTTATTTTCAGTCTTTGATACTTTGAGCAATCTAAGGTTGACTGTAATACAAATTAAGGGAAAATAATCAGATCTCAAGTAAAACATAAATTGAGAACTCTGTTCTGCCTGTGCATTCTCATTGAAGTCAAAGAGTATACAAGTGGAAAACAGTTTGGGATAGGCTTTTACCCATAACTACTGGTATTATGCAAGGGGGACTTACAGCTTTTTTATCTACTTGGTATAAGGGCACATGGTGCTTCAGTGAGAGATATCTGGTTCATTAAACTGAACAGTTAGCCTCAAGAAAATCCATACACTGGATTAGTTAAATCATTTTTTGTAGATACAGAAGTGCTCATTAATTAGTAGCAGGAATAATTTGTGCTTTACTGCAATATCAATCAGGATTAAATGTGTTATAAATTTAATCATTAGGCAGTACAATTGCATGGCAGTTAAAAAGAAAATGTAATTTTTCTGTATCTGAGCAACATAAATTAAGGAAAAGATAGTTATGTTTATTATAATACCACAAGAACTTACTGTAGATGATGCAACTAGGAGTCTACATCGTTGAAAGAGCAGATGTCCTAAGAGTTTACTGACTAATTCCCTTGAATCGAAGATTTATGGAACATTGAGTTGTTCCATAAGGAATTTTCTTTATTTAATATTTTAGATGCTTAAAAATAATTGTATCAATATTTTTTCATTACTTCCAAAATTTTCACTGAAAAGTAAGCCAATTTTTTAAAAAATCAGAATACAGTGAAAACATTTTAGCAATGCACTAGTCAATGAATTTACACAAAAATAACTAATCTAGCTTGAGATTAATTTACAACATCAGCAATTTAAAGAAATTTAAATAATGTAAGAGTTACGTTTTATTTCCATCTGTGCCACTTCACTAATGAGCAAAATTTCAAGTCAAATCATCTGCTTTATTGTTCTAATCCTAAAGTTAGAGGTGAAGAAGAAATGTCAGTCATGGCAACCACTCTCACAACCCATTTGTTCTTACTTTTAAATACCTATCGGAGTTAATTTGAAATGTATTTTCATGCTGGTTTTAACCCAAGGTCTAATTCCTTTTGATCTGATGCACATATTTGGAACAATTTTAATGAAATGGAGTTAATGTAGTATGTTCAAATCAGAGAGATACTGACTGAAGCAGGCCTACACTTGGATATCGTTAGTTCTGGGTTTATACCTCACAAGACTTTTAAAATACATTCTGTCATTTGTAATAAGATGATCAGAGGATTTGATTAGAAGTGACTGAAAGTGTTTTTAAGCCCTTTCTTAAAACTTTACAAGGCTTGAAAAGTTTGAGTGAAAGGCCTCTTGCCTAAATAACTTCAGTTTTTACTGGGTGAGGCTAATCTCATCAGTCTAGTAATTAGTCTCCAGTTGTGTATATTTCTCCACCTAACAAAGTATGTTATGAGAAAGTTGAAATGTGAAGAGATTTGTTCAAGACAGTAACTTCAATCACAAATGCACTTAATGACTAAAGAATCAAGCTTCTGTGTGGAAACAGTTTTATTGTTATTCTTCTGATCTCCTTGACTGCCTGCTGATATAACAGCTTCAACACTTTGCATTTACAGTCCGCATATCTGAAGACCTAGATAATATGTATTGGGCAGGATTAGCAAGAAAAGAAAGACAGTTAAATCAGGAGTTTAACTGTGTGAACTCGTGTATGTCTACAAATGTCTTGCCCTTGTAGATTTCTCCAGTCATGCCTTGATCTTATGTTAGGGACTATCTGACTCAGAGCTGGCAGAAACGTGTCCATCTGTACAAACTCCTTACACCTCCTCCTTTTGGCCAACATTTTCTGTTTGCATAATAAAAGTTGCTCATACAGAATTTGGCCAACTGTCTTGTGGTAAGAGATCCTATAAATCATCACAGCATTAGAAATGACTGTAAAATCAGTTTTTCCAAATACATTGAAGGAAGGGGCTATTGCATTTTTTTTTTTTTTTAATGATTTTTAATCACTTTCAAGCTGTTTGGCTTGTTATAATGAAATATTTAAATAGTCACAATGACTGTCTAACCTTAGGCCTAGGATATTTCTGAAGACCAATGTGAGAAATTTTTAAATTTAAAAAATAAAAAAAAGTAAGTTTGCAATAAAACCAAAAGCAAAGCAGAAACTATTTATTCCTTTGGATTGAATTTTTGGCATTTTTTTAGAGTGAGCTTTTAGAAAGTGAATGAATTTCCTTTAGATAGCTTCTCAGTATTAATTTGTGAATAGCACAGTTGCACTGCTATAAGGTATTTTTGCAGCAAAAAAAAAAAAAAAAAAAAAAAAAACCAACACCAAAAAACCATCAAACAAAAAATCAAAACAGAATTCTGTGGGGTTTTTATTTGGTATCATTCACCTTATCAAACCTTTCTCCCCAGCCCATCATCCCCTGTTTTGGATTGACTTTTTCTTCAATTTTCAGCCAAAGAACTGCCATATAATAGTTCACACCATCCTTCAGTCTTATTCATAATAAAAGCCAGGAGCCAAGTAAGTGCTTGAATCCCTCAGAGCTCACTAAATGCTTTCCATTTCTCTGTGCAGGAGTCTGAAAAACAGGTAAGGCATGCAAATGTAAGCAAGCTACACCATCTCCTTGTACATGAGAAAGCTTAATAAGAGCAGAGAAGATTTCAAGATAAAAGCTCTCCAAGCTCTCTTTTTAACTATTTAGCAATTGATTATCTGTCCATTTCTTCTGCTGCTACTGTGGGGTTTCTAGCTAGTGACCTTTAATCCATTTATTTCTAAGTTGAATCCATTAAGCGGTTAGCACTTAATCTGACTGTAGTAGAAGTGGGATGTTTCTGTGATGTTTCCACAGCTGTGAATACTAGCCACTTACTAATGCTCTTCATATCCATAAGCTTTTGGTTGTGGTTTCTTTATCTGAGGCAGCATTGAAAAAAGAGTGACGCTGATGATAATAATCTCAGCTGTGAAGAAGCTATTCTCCATGGATTACTTGCAGATTATTATAAAAAAAAATGCAGGGTAAAGGATCATGGATTTCAAATTTCATTCTGATCCTTGGCAGTGTGCTTACTTTGGAGAAATGGTACAGTAAGGTGGCAATGATTTGCACTGCTTCATCAGCTATTCCAGGCTTTTTATGTTCCAAGTGGTCAAGTAAACCACTATGATACCTGTAGCCTTTGTAAAATTGCATTCCTCTAATTTATCTCATATTTTCATTTGGTTTCTGAGATGTGGAGCCAAATTATACTTCTATATTTGAATAGCTGCTAGCAGTCAGAGGAATCTCTCTAGTATTTATAATGGTCATTCTCTACTACAAATAGAGCATTATTAGCCATACACTACAATTGAAGTCCTAGAGTAACACATTAGTTACGCCATCCAGATAATCATTTAGCTCTTGAAGGAAGGCTACTACACTATAAAAGAAGCATTAAGTATTAGTAATACGATTTCAAGAACGTAATTAGTAACTCTTAAGCTTAATGCGTCTGGTCCTCTGTCTGCACTAGGTTGAAAGAAATTGCATATGTATTTTATTGATATAAAAACAGGATAAATGAAAATCTGGTCCACTGTACTTTGGTATCTGTTTATATTGCAGCAATGGCACAAATATTTTAAAGAGAAATAAAATCACTTAATGTAGTATATCCTGGTCCTTAAATTGGCTTTCTGTATCATTATATATGTTATAACATATATGTATATACATATTTTACTGCGTAATTCAAAGCACAATGAATGTCTTTATGGTTGAGTTCACAGTAAGTTTCTAAGCTGGCCAGGAGTCTGTGAATTTAAGTCTCATACCAAGACTTGGACAGAAACCCAGAAATGGTACCGCAATGCAGCATTAGAGATGATACTGCATTTGGTGTTCATTCTTTCAGATAAAGTGTAAAGCTTATGTTTGCTCCATTCATCTTTAGTACTGGTTACGTGGAAAGTCTTCAAAATGATGCTTTTTAAAATGAACGTATTATAACCTCTCCCTCCCCCCTCAATGTGAGGACAGAGCAGGTCCAAAACCGCCTCATGAGACTGAATGTGTACAAGTCTATGGAGCTGGATGGCGTGCATCCCAGGGTTCTGAAGGGCTGAGGTGGTTGCTGAGCCGCTCTCCATCATATTTGAAAAGTCGTGGCTGTCAGGTGAGGTCCTGGATGACTGGAGGAAGGGTCACATCACTTCAATTTACAAGAAAGGGAGCAATGAGGACCCAGGAACTACAGGCCAGTGAGTCTCACCTCTGTGCCTGGGAAGATCATGGAACAGATCATCCTGGATGACATACTTGATCACATGAGGAATGGGCGTGTGATCTGAGACAGCCAGCATGGCTTCACCAGGGGCAGGTCATGCTTGACCAATCTATGATGGAGTGATGGCATCGGTGGACAAGGGAGAGGCAACTGATGTCATTTACCTGGACTTGAGCAAGGTCTTTGACGCAGTCCCCCACCACATCCTTGTCTCCAAATTGGAGGGATGTGGATTTGATGGGTGGACCACTCAATAGATAAGAAACTGGTTGAAAGGACACAGACAGAGGGGAGTCATTAATGGATCTATGTCCAGGTGGAGGCTGGTATTGAGTGGCGTTCCCCAGGGGTCTGTCTTGGGATCGATGCTCTTTAACAATCAATGACATCGATGATGGAATCGAGTGCACCATCAGCAAGTTTGCTGACAACACCAAGCTGAGTGGTGCAGGTGACATAGTAGAAGGAAGGGATGCTGTTCAGAGGAACCTTGGCAGGCTAGAAAGATGGGCCCAGGTGAACCTGATGAGGTTCAACATGGCAAAGTGCAGAGTTTTGCACTTAGGCTGGAGGAATCCCAGGCATCCATATAGACTGGAAGGAGAGATCCTTGAGAGCAGCCTGTGGAGAAGGACCTGGGGGTCTTGATAGATGAAAAACTTAACATGAGCCAGCAGCGTGCTCTTGCAGCTCAGAAGACAAATGGCATCCTGGGCTCCATCAAAAGAGGGGTGGCCAGCAAGAACAGGGAGGTGATTGCCCTCCTCTACTCTGCTCTTGTGAGGCCTCATCTGGAATACTGCATCCAAGCGTGGACCCCCCAGTACAAGAAAGACAGGGAGCTGTTGGAGAGGGTCCAGAGGAGAGCCACAAAGATGATCAGGGAGTGGAGCACCTCCCTTATTAAGACAGGCTGAGGGAGCTGGGCTTGTTCAGCCTGCAGAAAAGAAGGCTGCAGGGTGACCTCATTGTAGCATTTCAATACCTAAAGGGAGCCTACAAAGAGGAGGGGAATCAATTCTTTGAAAGGGTTGATAACCGCAGGACAAGGGGAAATGGTTTTAAGTTGAGGGAAGGGAGATTTAGGTTGGATGTCAGGGGGAAATTCTTTAGAGAGAGTGGTGAGGTGCTGGAACAAGCTGCCTACAGAGAGGTTGTGGATGCCCCGTCCCTGGAGGTGTTCAAGGCCAGGTTGGATGGGGCCCTGGGCAGCCTGGTCTAGTATTAAATGGGGAGGTTGATTGCCCTGCTGTGGCAGGGGGGTTGGAGATTCACAATCCATGAGGTCCCTTCCACCCCTGGCCATTCTGTGATTCTGTGATTCTGTGTAACCCTATTTCCTGGTCAGCTGTCATTTCTATAATACTTTCCTCCTACTCAGTATTTTAAAAATCTCTTACAAGCTGTTACTGAGCACACAGTAATTGTTCTTTTATGCATCTGATAGGTATGCCACTATTTTGGGAAGTACATAGAGATGAGCACAAATATATCAGGTCACATCCTTGTTTTGCACTTCTCTTTTTGGGCTGCACAGTTTTTTAAGAAACTGTGCTCTGAAGCAACTGTTAAAAGAGTTCTGATGATCTGGGGCACTGCAGTAAAGGCACTACCATCTTTTAAATGGGCACAACACTTAACATGCTGCTGAGAAATAGGCAAGCTTGTATTACTGCCCAACAACTCTTTGCATTAAGCTGCAAAGGATAAAGATTCTTGAATTTTCCATCTACTCATTTTACAAGAGTAGTAGACTGGAAAAGTAATTAACATGTATATAGGATCTGGCCTTCATGCCTGGGCTATCTTACAGACCTTGCTTCTTTATCTACTGTCCAGTCAACTTTTGCTACCTGTCTGTTTTCCTAATTACTACATAAACTACTTTCACCCAGTGAAAAATAAAATAGTGCGTAATGGGCAATTTGGTTTTCAAGGAAGTGTATGTTTGGAACTAAAGTTTTTCTCTTTGTAATTAGTTTACAATTGTGCCTGAAAATTTTCATTAAGTTTTTTTTCTAGAAATTATCTCCTCTAAGTTCTGATGAATAGTTTTCCATAGGAATTCATGCTCAGTCTTTTATTTCTGTATACATCCTTGGAGTAAATATCACATCTGAGTGTGACTCAACTGTTGACGTTGAGGTAACTCACAGATAAAAATTGCACAAGAACACACTGATATCTTCAGTATTAATTAAGAAGCCAGATTTGTCCTATGCTTCTGCCTACCTGACTAATTTATACTCCACCTGGGAGCATGCAGCTCAGGGTCAGTGGGAGAAGTAGCGTTTGGAGCAGTAAAAACTACTTTTAAAATGGGAACAATAATCCAGTTTTCCATTAAACTGTCAAATGTTTGAAATTTGCCATGTGTGAGACTGCATAGCTGTGCAGTTAGGAAATGATCCTGATCTTTCTAGCCTAGATTAAAATAGAAGCACCACTAAAGAAATTACAAAAATGAAAGAATGAGTGGAGGGAATTGGAAATGTTAGTTTCTCCTTTTCGCATGTTTCATCTATTAATTATTGATTGTGCTGATATTAATGAGAATCATACAATTGGGTTAGTCACATTTTCCAACTGAGAATTTTCTTTAATGAAATTAAATTAACATTTTGAACATATATATACATCTTACTTTACTGTTGTTTAATTTTTTTTCCCCTAGAGGGTTAAAGATTTTCAAGTGAAAACCATGATCACAGGTCACTTTCACACAGAGGGCAGTGACACACTGGAACACAATCCCAAGGCAACTGTGGATGCCCATCCCTGGCCAGGCTGGATGTGGCTCTGGACAGTCTGGTTTGGTGGTTGGTTGCACATAGCAGGGGGGTTGAAACCCAATGATCATTGTGGTCCCTTTCAACCCAGGCCATTCTGTGATTCTGTGATTAAAACTATAATAATTTATTCATAATCTTTACCTATTTTGGCAGTTTGAAGCCAAATGTTTTGGCTTGGTGGATGGTGCAGCCTTCTCCATTTGCCAAAATAATGCTTGATTTTTTTCCAGCATTTTGGCTCCTTTTTTTTTTTCTTCTGGCCTGTACATTTTTTTCACAGATGCCTTCATATAGCACTACACTTTCCTTTCAGTACTTCTTTGGCAGTTTGCTTTATAAAGAGGCAGTTGAACTCTTGTTGTTTGTTGCAGGGCCTGTACCTCTCTTTTCAATATACATTTATTCTCAAGTTGTGCTGATAGAAGCATAGGTGAGTTTTATTGGATGCACACTGCTGTGAGTTTCTCCTTCCATTGCCACACACCAGAAACCTAATTTTCTGCATACTGGGA